CACCCCCATCCCACCCCCATCCCACCAGTGAGAATCTCCTGGATTTGGGGCCTCAGCAATTCACCTCTCCAACCTCTCTGCAGCCCCCTTCGACTCCTCCCTGGACCCAGATGAGGGGGAAGGAGGGGAAAGGGCAATGAACCCTTTTGATGCTAGGGCACCCCTCCCTTGTTATCGAGGTCCAAGCAGGGCCAGCACTGAGAGCGGGAGAATGAGGATGGGTTGGGTGTGAAAACCAATAGACACCCCCCGACTCCTGCTCCTGCCCTGGCTGTAGCGGGCACCGCCACCTCCTGCTCTGACCCCAGAACTGTCCCTTCGAGGTGGGCGAGGAAGCCGAGGAGACCGAGGAGGCTGGGCTGGGGGTGGCACAGCTGCTGCCCCAGCCATCCAGTCATCTGCATAATGCTGTCCCCCTCCAGAGCCGCTGGCATCCTCTTCTGCAAAGAGTGAAAGGGACAGAGACAGAGGTGAGAGAGAGAGGTAGGGGGGAGACAGAGGGAGAGAGATAGACACAAACAGGGAAGAAGACAAATCGAGATTAAAAACATAGAAAGGAGAGGAGAGAAGCACAGGTAGATGGATGGGGTTGGGAGGAGGGAGAGAAACAGTGAGTGACAGGAAGGCAGAGAGAGAGAGAGAGAGAATACACAGCAGACACGGTGATGAGAGATGGCAAATACACAGCAAGAGACAATAAGAGAGAGTCAGAAAACAAAGAGAGACAGACAGATGGGGAGAGAGGACAAACAGGAAAAGACAGAGAAAACAGAAGACCACAGAAGCAGAGAGCAGAAGGGAAGCAGCAGGGAGGGAGGGGAGACAAAGAGAGACAGAGACAGAAGGAGAGAGAAAAAAAATGAATGTGCCATGCTTCTCTGTCTGGCAAACTCCACCTTGGGGAGCCAGCCCAATGTCATCCCCACCCCGGCTTGCCCTCAGGTTGCCCCCATTCTCCCACAACCCTCTGCCCATTATAAGAAGCTCCCCACTGTTCTGTAAAAATATTTTCGTGTCGCCTCCCACTGGACGGCGAGATCATGGATAGAGACACATTCACCTTAGAGGTAAGCCCTCAGTAAATGTTCGTTAAATGAATAAGTGAATGAAAGAACGCTAGGAGGAGCAGAGAGGCACGGTGGGCAGGAACCGCGAGGCGAGGGGACAGACTCCAGAGGCAGTGAGTGGGCGGAGGTCGGGGCCGGTGGGGCGCCAGCGTCTCACCCGCTTCCTGATTCTCCAGGTCGCTTCCGAACGCCGCCGCCCTCATCCTGGCCGTGGCCGCCCGGAGATGCAGCAGTCGCCGCCGTGTCTCGAAGTCGGCTTCCGACTCTTCCGTCTCCAGATCGGGGTTCTGTTGCATCTCGGTCAAGGTGCCCCCGAGCGCGGGTGCCAAGTACCTGCGAGCACAGCAGCCCCGACGGCTCCCGCCCAGCCCGCTCGGCCCCGGACCCGGCCCCGCCCG